AGATATAGTACATTAATCTGACAGATCATTATACCATGAATATTTAATTTATTTTTCTCTAATGCTTATTGAATATTATTGAAAATATTTGTGCCTCAAAGAGATACATTAATCTGACAGATCATTATACCATGAGTCATGCGTTACTTACGGATCTGAACGTTTGCGTTTTACGTCAACGGGTGCTAGATTTTTGCATTTCGTTACGTGCACTTCGAACGTTAGATGTTTATAATCATATTGCAACGCGAATTCGACTTCTCCGGTGACGACCACCGAGCGACAGCACCGTCCCTCACCAGCACCGCTATAAACCGACGCCATCGAATCTGAACGTGCCTGAAAAAAATTATAATCGAATACTTATACTTGTGATCCTCAAAAATACGTTTCAATATCATGGTGCAAACAATATAAATAAATAATTAAAAAATATTAAAAAAAGAGAGACAAGCAGGAACTTGTCAAATATAATACCACATATTGAGATTAAGAAATAATTTTCTAACTTTCTAACTATACTTACTCCAAGACTGGACAAGGATGCCCGAGTGGCAAGGTGTCCAGAATGCAATCCAGAATCCATGTCATCCACGTCGATCACCGTGTGACTAGAGCCTGCTCGTGATCCTGCGCCGATGATCGGAGTGCTGCACGCTTCCGACAAGCTGCTTCCATCGTCTACAAAAGTGAAAAAAGTGCATCAGCCACACGATCAATCATCACTATTCATTACAAGCTCAATTTCATTAATCGAGTATTTTTACACGCAAGATTCAAAGAAATCTAAATAATAAATATATAATCGTTTCAAACTATTCTTTATCATATCCTCCAATTGATATCAAGCATTTCTCAAGCAAATTTCATTTTTTCGATTAACTTGTTCCATCCCCGGACGAATCGTTCCAGCTCCTCTGCCCCCGCGCCCGACACTTGGGAAACAGCTTCTCCTCCTCCTCCTCCTCCAAAGAAACACTCCTCGCGTCCACCACACACTTCGAAAATATTTCCGCCCTTGGCTCGCTCTCCTTCTTCCCGTTCCTTCTCCTCTCCGTTTTGGAGAGCACCACGCGTTTCACCCCGAACGAGGGAACGGAGGAGGGACTCTCCAAAAGGAGGAACGCTCCACCATCCCCGTTCGAGGATTCTTTCGATCCTTCGCAGTTGTAATTGTGATTCCCCCCCTCCTCCTCCCTGGGGAACGAGTCGTCGACGGGTGTGATCGCGATCTCGTTTCTTGTCAACGGGTCTTCCTCCGAGTACTCCCCTCCTCCCCTCATCTCCATCCTCTCAATCTTCGGCCTCGCCACCTTCTCGTCCATTGCTTCCTCCTCCTCCTCCTCCTCGTTGGCTTTCGGGTAACAGGGCAGGACGAAGCAATCAAGGAACGGATTGACGCGTTGCGCCAATTTTCTCAGCGTCCACCTCCCATTTGACGCGTTGAACGCTGTGTAACCGCCGCTCTTCATTTTCAGTAAGAAGAGTTCCCCCTTTGGGGAGGGAACGTTTCAGGATTTATTTTTCATTTAATTTTGATTCCCTTGAAAATTGAAGAATGTGGAAATTTGCTCGGTTCGAGCAATCTTGAGAATTAAAATGATATTATTTGGATTGATTTAACAAGTTCAAAGAAGATTCTTATTTGGGGAGAAATTGGAATGAAGTAAAATTATAATGAAACACGGATTTAAAATTGTGGAAAGGAAAGCAGAATTTTTTTAAAACTTGTCCTGAGAATTGAATTTAACTTATCGTTTAAGCTTCGTTAAATTTTGTAAAGATATTATTTTATGAAAATTTTTTTCAGATTCCTTGTGAATTATAACTTGAATTTAATTCGAATCGTTTTAGGAATTTTTTTAAATTTAAACTTATCCTCGTGTTCTAAACAGAAGCGAAACGTTCACGATACTGACGAGTTCGTTTCGTAGCAGTTTCTGATAATGTAGCGAAGGGGGGACGATAAAACTGATTTTTGCTTCCTGTCTTCCGGCTTGAATGCGCAGGAACTTTCACGTTCAAGGTTTCATTGCGATAAGGGACAACAATTGTGAATCGTGTCTCAAATTTTCCAATCGAATCGACACATCTGCTTCCAATTCTATTCCATTTCTGTATTGTCAAATATTTACTTAAATATTCAATAATAAATATTATCTTTGCGAGCTATGGGAAAGTATTATATGTTATCTTTGTCCAGGATTTAATGGAATCACGTTGGATCAATTATTAATATTAGAATTACGAATACAATATCAAATTGTATTAATTTTTGGAACTGGTTTTCATAAAAATTATTTTATATTATATATTTATTATATTATTATAAATTTGATAAAAGTTTGATAAAAATTTAATCAGAGGTATAATTACATAATTATTTTCACGATGGTGCTACTTCAACTACTTCATCTGTTGGTATTTTTTTAAATTAAAATACAAGTTGATAAAATTATATTTATTCAGTAAGGCAGCAAATAAACACGTGTAATCATTCATAGATTTATAGAAATTTGTATTATCGTGCTGTGGTGATTTAGGTGCAATTTCTACGAGCAATTGCAGAATTGGAGAAATGTGTGTCAAGGTGAATGCTTGTAGTGAGAAAAAAAAAAAACCTTTCGTAACTCGTGCATTTTAAGAATTTTAGTATCGAAATATTATTTTTTGAAGCAATACACGTGATTAATTATAATATATTAATCATGTCATTACGTACAAGTTTCTCTATAATTCGAAAAATTTCTCTCTCTCTTTTTTTTTTTTTTTTTTCTTAATCCTTCCATGAATTTTAATTATCGATTCCTCACGTTAATGAAGCTTGAGGTTATTATGTTCCCGCGTTCTTGTCACACTTTCTTTACTTTGGCGGCTAACAATTTGAATTAATTGCAACAAAGTATTTCGCTTAGTTGAAATTGCGTTTATCAAATCTCATCGCAAGAAACGAGAATCGTGCTCGAATTAATATGAAAAACATTATTGTGCTATTTTATACACATTGTGTTTTAACATAGAAGAGAGGTATGATCTTTCTAAAAAATTTCTACCAAGTTAAATAAAATTTATTAGTTTTAATAAATACAGGCGCGATCGTTCAATTTTAATTACAAAATTTCTTAATGATTTCAGAATTTTCAATTGTGTATAAGTGAATATACTCATATAATGTAATTTAATTAAAAATTAAAATTTTTTTCTGCAATCTTAATCTTTTTTTTTTTTTATTTAGATCAAATTAATAAATAAATAACGATTAATAATTCGATAATTTAAATTGATTAACTTTTATTTATTAAGGTTAAACTGAATGAAATTTTAAATAATCCGCCGAAAACACGTGACTTCCGTTCAACGCCATCTGTCATAATTTTTTCCGAAAAATTGTTTTATAACAGTCTGTCGCTAAAATTCATCCATTGCCTTGTGAATTAATATGATTAATAAGCAAAGTTGTGTGAAAATATCGCGAATCGATTAAAAAAAGGGAATAAAATATTTTTCGTATATGAACGAACGTTATTATGTCATATTTATCGGACTACTCTATCGAAGCGTAACTCTTGAATTGGGCAGAAGATAATAATCGCGGAAAGAATGTATTTTTCCCAAGTGAAAATATGCCCGCTATTTCACAAAAAGAAACGTAACATTATGTTGAAAAATTTATTACAGTTTGATTAAAATTTATTAATCGAATTAATCCTTGTATAATCTAATTAATTTTGATATATTTAACGTAATCAATACGCATTAAATATCAAATCACAGTAGTGATTACAATTTATAATTTTCATTCAATCAATGAAATGTCACAAATTTTAATTTTAATTAATTCAATTTTGTTTCTTAGAAAAGAAACATAATTATTAATTATAAGTTATATCAAAAATTATAGAAAAAAAAGAAACAATGATTAATTTTAAAATTTTTTAAATTATTCTACGAGATTGAAATAAAATTAGATTATAATAATAGATATTTTAAGAGAATTAATGTTTAGAATAATTATTGAAATTGAAAGAATCGTTTCAACGTTGTACTTTTCTATGAATAATTATGAGAGGCAGTGAAGTTGAACAATTCTTTTTTTTTTTTTTTTTTTTTTACTTTTTTTTTGCAAGTAACAGTACTTTTCACCGAATAGAAACATCGAAATCTCACAGAGGAAGAATATTTATGGAATTCGAAGATTGAATTGATTTTCACAATAGTTGCAATTAAATTAAAAGTTGTTAAATTAAAAATCATAAATTTGTTTATATGTGATAGAATGATTTAAGTATTCTGAATGTTTATCGTGGTTGAAATATTGTTACTATCGAATACCACCGAGTTGAAAGTTGTTAACATTGAATATCAGGACGTGAATATCGAATACCCAAGATTCAGGGATTGTTGATATCGAATGTTACCTGAATTCCATTTGTAAATTAATATATATATATCACATTTTAATATTTAATATATATGATATATATGATATTAATTATTAAATTCATTTGCATATTAATGTAAATTGTCAAAAGTAATTAGGTCTCTTACGTAAATTTAATAACGAAGCATGTGGAAAATTGTATGTTCGTGCATTATTCGAATAGCATTGAAAAAATGCAAAAAAACAATGATTAATCAGAAAATCTACAACATCATAACAATTTTACGTTTAATTTTAAAGAAAAAAATAGAATGAAATGATTTAACTATTGAATTATTAAATTCAATACTTTCTTTTCAAAACAAATTTAATTTCACTCTAATTTCGTAAGAATAATTGTAATTTACAAATCGTACATTTGTAAAATAAAAATCGATCTACAAATTTTCCGACAATTATATTATCTCTTCTTAAAATTTAGATATTAAAATTACAACACTCGTGAAATTTATCATTTCAGTTCGTGTTAAAAATTTTTTTCAATGAATTTGTTTGTTCTGTTACGCTATTAAAAAATGTTCCGTGAAAATCAATCAAAAGTAGTGCAATGTAATTTAAATGTAGCGTGGAATAGAAAAGGTCTGATTGTCGTGTGCACATTAGAATCATCGGAGAAAAAAGCGGTGGAAAAATTAGAATGTTCGAGCTCGTCAAGTCGAGTACCGTTTTCTCGATCACGCAAAAAGGTGACACGCATTTCAAAATGTCGGTACCGGTATACCAGCTGTGTCTATCGACTTTCCAACTAACATCATTAAAAAACACGATGTCTAGTTCTGTATTCTGTATGGTGATAAATTATGACCTAACCTGCTTATTGATCGTTGCCACTTTTCATTTTCATCGTTATATAATTAAAAGGGCAGTATTATTTATAATGTTTGAATTTTTGTTGCTGGAAAATATCATATTTTACATATCTATTTTTTTTTTCATGTTTCCAATACATGATTGAGTTATTTTAAAATAAGGATTTTGGAATATTTATAGTATCGTATAATACGAAAGTATTATACAAATTTTCTTTGGTTTTTTAATTTGTTTATATTTAATGAAAAATATTGTTTAAATATTGGATTAATTTTATAATAAAAATATAGATTAGAAACTATGGTACTTATTTTAATATTCATATTGTTCACATGTAGAGTATCGTATAATACGAAAATGTTACGAAGATTTTTTTTCTTTAGTTTTATAATATACGTTTAATATAAAATATTTTATTATTAATAAATTA